GTCGGGTCTTCCTCTCTGGGTCGGCGCCTGACCGCGCAGACGGTCCGAGCGAAGGATGCCAGAGATAGATCGGTGGAGCCTGGCTGGGTGCCTAGTTTGAACCACCAACGGCCTGGGCCTTAGTCTTTTCCGATCAAAAGAAAACCAAACATGTCTGGGCATCAGGTACCAAGATGGTTCGCCACCCCGGGGCATTTCTCTATGAATCAACCAAGGCACTGAATGGCCATCCATATGTCACAGCGGTGTGGTGATGTGAACTCATCAGGTGATGGAGCTTAGTGAGGAGATGTCTGCTCGGAGGGCCTGTTTGGTTCGAGCCCAGGTTACATGACCCCGACGTTGGAGACGACCGTTGGGGGCCATATTTTGGGAGGTTCACTTTCACAGACCTGCACGGGAAAAAAAAACGGGGAAAACCTACGGCTCCGACCCCCGCACGGCGAGCCGTGACCTCCTACGGGTCTCCCCGCGGTCCAGGTCCGCGAGGTCCAGGTCCGGCGCCTGCTTGCAGGAGGAAACGGACCATTTGCAGATCCCCCAGCTTCGCAGCGACGTGGAGAGGATAAACGCCCTTCCTGGTGGATCCCCAATTGCAGCGGTCGCGGCGTCGGTCGAAAAGCGTGCGCGGCGTCGGTCCGGGACAGAAGGAGAAATGGGTTTTGCGTCGTGCACATCCGTGATTGAGATATCTGGCACATCATCCTGGAATGGAAGATGTAGCATGAAATGTGCTACCCAAATATTCCATTCCAATGTAATTCTGGAATGGAAGGTGCCTGAATTGTGTTTCAACATTCATAGAGTTTCTTGGGACTAGATTTGCCTACGCAAATAATGGATGATTGCCTGCAAATGTTGCTGCATACGAATCCGACAAAACATCATCAACGTGGGGCTTCTTGAAATTCTAACTCTAACTCATTACAACCCTTTCTCCAGGATGTTTTTTCAAGACAATGGATGCTTCTGAAAGGATCTTGGTACAATAGGAAAGTACGATGCACACCCATGCTGAAAAGCAGCATCTTCTCACGGTGCTGCTAACCAAGTCGTTGCCAAATAGACTACAATAGTCTGGCTCTTGTTCAAGGTAGAGACCCAATGCCAAGATAGATAGATCCTTCCCCGGGTTCTCTGTCCTATCTTGGTTGTTCACCAGGGTAGCTTATCTTGGAAAATGCAAATTATTGCAAGCGCAAGCGTCTTTTCCGTAAAGGGCATGGAGAAGAAGCGCTTGATCCGGGGCTTGTTCCTGGACGGCCAGCTGTCATGCTATTTTAGAAGCGTACTGCTCATGTAGAGACACCATCCACAAACTCTCAACTCGGAAACTTCCAGCTCCACTTTTCTCCAAGTCGACTTTGATATCGATGGAATCAAAGTACTCAAACCTACTTCTCATCTATATCGTCTACAGTCTATAAATATATCCACAGTATATATATATATATATATCGATTAATTAGCTGGGATAGTTCAACGATAAGCACGGACAGCTGTAGCCAAACCCAAAAAAAGAACAACAACACATGGATCATTGATCCACCTTGGTGACCCACATGTTCGGGGACCTCCGGACATCCCCTAGGAGTGGGGCAGATGCCGCAGGGATAGGCACCAGCGGCTTCTGGACACGATGCGTGAAAAAAATCCGTAGACTTGACGCTCTGAACTCGTTGTTTCTTGGTTCATTCCAGTCGTTCCAAGGAGTTGGGGTGGTCAACATCGAACCATCCAGTGAAGCGTTTTTCTTGGTGCACACAAAGGGCATACCCAATAGACACCCCTCAAGATCGACACAGTTTGGGAACTGCTCGTTGTTAACCGAGCTGTCGCCGCACGTTCGTGGGATTCAATCCCGTACTACAATCAGTCCGCGAAGCTGATCGACGGCCAACTAGGCAATTGGAAATCCCCGTCACCCCCTTCTCTGTTCTTTGCCGTTCTTTTATATGTTCTTGTTTCTGGATGATGTTCTTATCTTATCGTTTCCTTTGTCTTTTCCTTTTTGTCCCTGTCTTTTCTTTTCGTGTCTTCTGTTCTTTTCGTTCTTCCATTCCTTCCGTTCCTTCCATTCCTTCCGTTCCTTTCTTTCCTTCCTCCCTTTCTTCGTTCCTTCGTTCTTTCCTTCTTTCTCTCTTTTTCCCCGCTCTGCCCCCCCCCCGCCCCCTCTCTCTCTCTCTCTCTCTAGGAATGTGGACGCTGCTTTAAATGTCCACCTATCTATCTTCTTCAGGGAGCTGAGTTGCTTGAACAGCTTTTAGCCACCTAACACATGGTTTCAAACCAGCGAACCAGTTGCAAGAACTGTGAAAATATTTGAGGATAGCAAGTCTTGAGTTTCTTGAAAGAGTGCCCTGTTCAGTGTCTCCTGTTGCATTCAGGCGTTACATCTGGAGAAAAAGCTTGTCCCGCCCAGTCACCGCTTTCCGCACCGAACCTCCCGTCGAGTGGACTCGCGGCCTGGGTCCAAAAACGGCCCCAACGTCCGAGTTCGGCGTCACGGCGGGCCGAGGGGCACATCGGAGAAGTCATGTCTCTTTAAGAAGCGCACCACACAATCCCTCCGCTTCGTCTGCCTTCCCGCGGCGGGCAGCCGGAACACGGGGCAAGCGGGAAGCGGAAGGTCTCTGAGCTCTCTCTGAGCGCACTCTGGGCCACGCTGGGCAGGGGTGTTCCGGAGCGAGCAAGAGGCAGTCGAAGGGGGAAGCCCAAGAGTAGCTACTTCGTCAGGACACAGGCCGAAGAGGGGTGTCCTCTTTTCAACTAGAAAGGCCTCCTCTTTCAACCGAAAAGAAGGAAACACCCCAACACCAAACCCTGCATGTCGCGGTTCGGAGGGTCCTTTCAACCTGGATCTCGGGACCGCCATGCCGAAGCCCGTTTCACCGGTGCCGTCCCCGGTATTTGGAGGACAGCGTACGTGAGGACGGTACGTGAAGACGGTAAGAACTAGATCAGCAAATACAGTAACCATGAATACAGTAAAGGCCTTGTTCAAAAATAAGGAGTTGCTTGTTTACTGACTCTGACTAGGTGAACAACCGACAGACCCAACTGATAGTTAACAAGTAAATAGTCCGTTGCCTGCGCGGAATTCCGTGGCGTGAACTGTGCCCTGATGTATGGGGATGGGTTGCGACCCACCTGAATAATTATTGAGAGTAGATTCTAGATGGTACAAGGGCCCCCAAGTTTGGTGGTTTATGTGGACCCACATCTGTTGGATAGACATATCTTGGGGTGTGTGCCATCGAACCTCTGAAACCACTGCATATCAGCAACATAACCTCAAGTGGTCATTGACATCATCGATCCCATCGCCCAAGCTGTCGTCTCACTTCCAATCACTTCCCTCCCCACTTGGCCGGGCCTTTGCTCTCCTTGGGAAGCGCAAAGGAAGCCGGACGTGACGAGAACCGATCTCCTGAAATGCAAACATCTTCCTGAACCAGGCTGGATCTGTTACAAAGTTACACTACAAAATCCGATGCGAGAAACTCTGATATGGAGCTCAGAACATATGTGTGTTGTTCAGTAACACCATTTCATTCCCACCAGTCTCAACATTCCTGAGTGATCTCGAGGCTGTAGAGGAACGACTTGGTGCATCTATAGTTGGTCTGTCATCTTTACCTGAAGAAACCTGAGAAAAGAGCATGTCGCCATGTGCATGGTAAGATCTTACGACTGGTTAAAACCACTTAGGTGAAACGAGGTGTCCAACCTGGATTGACCTGGATTGTGGACTGATGTCCCAATGGCCATCTTTTAAGAAGCTGCTCGCGTGAGTAGCGAACTCCATATAAATCCTTTTTGGTCAAGGATGATTCCCAAACTTGTTCAACAGGTTGGAACCTCTTCCGAAACAGCCTTAAAAAAAGATTCCAGGTCCTTTTCGAGCATCCAACACTAAATCTACCCCCAAGAACCACCGAAAGGACCTCCTCCCCAGCCGTCCCGTTCGACGCTCTTCGCACCCGAGCGTCTCTTGAACTCCAGCTCCAGGTGGGTCGTCACCTTCGTCTCCTTCCACTCTTCAAGTCCTTTGATCTCTGGCACCTGGGAGCCCAAACCGACCGCACGGCCAACGGGGCGACCGACCGACCTTTCTCGGCACCACGCTTCGCGGGCATCGCGAGACGGACGAACGCGACCGGTCCGGGTCTCGAGCCGGGGACTGGACAGGTTCAATCCAGTCGACCGGATTAAGTCCTGTCAGCTCTCAGTTAGTGGTAGAAAACTAGTCAATCATGGGGAAGATCGGGGAAAGCTGGGTTTTTCTAGACCAGTCCTACGAAAGGCAGGGGCGGATCTTTGGATGCGAGGGGGGGTCTACAAGAATCACTGCCGCATCAATGCGGCCACACCGTGAACTCCTTGACGTCGGACGTCGATGGCCCAAACCCGCAGCTGCCCAAAGCTTTGCCAAAGCACATGAGGATCCTGAAAGTCGCTCAAGGTGTTGAGGCACATGGGGCTACAACAATTCGGAGCGTCCTGGTCGGTGCTGGTCTTCGCCTAAACAAAAGAAGATCTTGGAAGACCTTCAGCCGAAATACTGCGCCACGATCCTCACACCGAAGAGACATGAAGATCACGACGGCCACACCGTGAAGTTGACGCACCGTGGACTCGGCTCCGGAGAAAAACCCGCCGGAGGTGGCAAAGGGCAGCAAATGGTTCGGAACCTGCTGGTTTCATCACCCAACAACGAGTGGCAAAGGACACAGATCGAACGCACCTCGCGGGGTTGGTGTCCTGTCCCGACCGGCGACCGGCGACGGACCTGACCGACATCGGTCGTCGAAACGGCTGGACGGGTGGCCACATCGGGCGCTCAAAAGGCAGAGGAATTTCATCCCCCCTTTTCTGGCTCCCGTCCCCACATAGATGCAGTCATCTAGCATCACTTGCGAGTTCACGTCACGCGAAAGAAGCAGTGAGAGGTGGAGTCCAGAATGGACCTCATGTGTGGGTAAGTCCTCATGTCTGGCCATGTCCAGGTTTCTCGCGCTCCCAAAACCGCCTCTGCCAGGTGTTCCAAGATGGCGTGCAAGGTGGGCGTGGTGTTCAGATCCGAGGCCACACAGAGTTGGCCTCGATGGCGTCCCGGGTCGACGTCGACCGTGAAGCTCGCAGTCGGAAGCCGGACGGGGGTCTGGACTCGAGGCGAAACCAGCACCAATGAGTCTGACCCCGTTCGTCCATATTGGAGCTCCAGCAGTTGGTATCCAAACATCATGGCAAAAGCATTCAAAATCCCTAAGTGGGTGATTTCTCTAGCAGGTGTTGGCAACTACGCCGGGCTCTGTTGAGCCCTGTCAGAGTCCCCACCTTTTTTCAGAATGGCGGTCAGCGCGTTGACGGCCAAGACGTGGCGACAACCACCTCCCCGGGTCCTAGTGGTCCAAGGATACTGAGATCGGGCCACAACGACCCGGCAACCCAGTCCCGAAACGAAGGGTAACCCAAGATGGCTTGAGATATCCTTGATGGTCCGGAAGTGGCCGGGACTGGGGAAAGAACCAAACTAGTTTCTGTTTGGGCACGTAATCTGTGTGAAGCCAGGCTTCGTTCAACCAAAAAGCCCTCAGTTCAACCTCAAACACCCATGGCCACATGCCATGGCCACATGCCAATGGCGCGAGCGATGGGCCTTCACTCAGTGCCTTCGCCGCCTTCACGCCAAGTGGCGCGAGAAGGGGAGGCCATTCTCCAACCATGCAGGCTTAAAGGAGAGCTCCTAGCAGCTAGGCCCATTCGGTTTCACCAGGTTTCACCCCGAAGAAAACCGGTTGCCTGGGCTTTTTCGCTATAGCAGGGGACCCCAAAAGCATTGGGCAGAAAGAAGTGTCCAGTGTCACAGGCAAACAAATCCATCTTCAAACGTCCATATCACGTCATATCGCGTCATATCACATCACATTGAAACCTGAAAACGTCCATATCGTTCAGTGAGGCTCAATCGTTCAGTGAGCCAAGCGAGCCAACAGTCGCCGTCCGGCGAGCCGGACGAGCCAATTATTGGGTCGTTTCCCTTTGAAACAGGAAGCGACAACCATCCGAGAGCGAGATGTTGACCTTCCAGTTGAAAGAACCAAAGTTCAAATCTATCACTTCAGTCCAAAACCAGCCTGGCCCTTGCAAGATCCAATGCTATCCCTCTTGACTTTGAAGTCCAAATCTTCATCCAACAAACCAGAACTTGGGTCACATCAATACAACCGAGATCAACCGAGACATTATCACTTGACACAGCTTCTAAGAACGAAAGAGCATGGGACTATCGCCTTTCCACACCCACACCTACTTTAGCTAGGTTGGAGTTGGGGGCCATCGCTAGTAGGTTGGAGGCCATCGCTAGTAGGTTGGAGGCCATCGCTACTAGGTTGGAGGCAATCGCTACTAGGGTGGAGGCCATTGCTATTAGAAACAAAAAAAAATTAAAAGGAAGAAAGCTCTAGCACCTGCCATTGGCTCTTTTGGCTCCTCGCGGCTCAGGTCGCCGAGCTAACACCTCTGACCTCTGTCAGACCTACGGGCGCGCCCCTGTATGGAGGTGTCCGGAAGGCCTGCCGGGAGGCCTCCCGCTGTTCACAAGCGGAACCACATTTGACCAAAACACTCGAACTTAGACGTATCAGCACTGAACGTCACAGTCAGTTTTGAGAGACAGTGAAGATCTGTTCTTCAGAACTGAAGACTCGTCTTGATCCTTGAAACATGGAATTTCCACCCGGGTCCAACTGGTTTGAATTCTTACCCCTTCTTCGCCCTACGGCGTTTTCCAGAGCCCCAGATGAGTGGGACACGCCCATATCTACTAAGATGATGCCTCTCCGGAAACGCTCCGGGTCAGTGTAAAGACCACAGCTTTGCGTGGCCCCTATCCCCAAGCGGTAAAAACAGAGAGTGGCTTTTGACCTGAGCAAGCAGGACAAAGGGCCATCGAACCGAAATCTGGACTCTCGAGATGTTTGGCTTTTCGGGCTTTTGGGGGCTGGTTGACAGAAGCGAAGGCCCATTGAAAGACTCGGGTGAAAGAGTTCAAAGGGCTCAGCTTTGGATTCTCAGAAGTGCGGATTGCAGGAGAGGATGAAATAACCAAGAGTCCTCTTTCGTACTCAACGAGCAGCGCAGCATGCAAACCATGCAGCCCCTACAACAATCCCACAACAACTCCTAATCACCTTGTCAACCAAACCATGCAAGGTGCAAGAAACACAAATCTGTAGCCCCAACAAAGGCATCAGCCCCCTTTCAGAAAGTGAACTTTGGGATGAAGACAACGATCAAACTGATCAAACTAGAGGTTTCTGTAGACAAAGTCAACCCTCTCGAAAACTGAGTTTGGAAAATGGACTATGTTTCTCTACCGAACCGGACTTCACACCTCGGGGTAGTCACATCATCGCGAAAAGTTTGGCAAAAAAGAACGCCTCGGGCCTCAGGTTCAGGAAAGCATGTTGGCGAATATAAACCTACTCATGTTGGCAGCTCATTCACAGTGCTCTATTTGTCTCGAACTCTGAGTTTCTTCGCTTTCAGGCCAGCCCCGCAGCCCCCAGCAGTGCAAGGGAAGCCCGAATCCCTCCCGAACCTCGTCCAAGCCACGTGTGGCAAGCCCGCCTCTTCGAGGCGTCTCCGCTCCTGCGACGTCCAAAACTCTTCCTCGCCCGCCTCACGAGCGGAGGCGGCTGTGAGTACAACACCCGGTGCCAACGGGTCGGTGGGTGGAGCCACGGGCGTCCCCTATGCTTCGGAAATGGAATCCCCCAGCTCGCAGCTGTTTTCCAGGTGTAGGCGCCATACGCCCATGTCCCTTGAGCATCCGAGAGGGCCTAATTTGAATCATTGACATTGACATACATTGACCTATTTTGCCAGCCATGCTTATCCTTACCTGAAAAAAACATGTGCTGTGTATATAATATATATATATGTGTGTGTGTGTGTTCTATTATATACTATTATTGTTATCAATCATAATAACAATAGTAATGTGTTGCTGGGTCCAAGTCACACCATGCACGAGTGGTCCCCATTCAAAACATGGACATTTGATGTGAAGTCTGGTCACACCGAAATGAGCTCCGAGTGCGGTCGAATCAAAGAGAGATTGAACTGAGTTCCGGAGGCACCGGGCGTCGCCGTCTCGAAGCTTCCGACTCTGGTGGCCCGAGGCGCCGAGCCGGCGAGGAGCTCCGCATCGGGTGGTCCATGTTCCGAGTCGCTCAGGTCTTGTGACTCGGAACTGCTGAAAACGCCCAAATTCATACCAAAGACGACCAGGATGTAGGTTGCTCCCCCAAAAGACGACCAAGATCTTGGAACCCTTGGAACCGCCCACCGCCCACCAACTCGCACTCCTCACCGCCCCACCTCGCATGCGCTGTGCCCAGCCGTTCGCACCAGGTCCGATGGCCGTTGGCCCCGGCGGTTCCGTCGCAGCACGTCGCCCCCGTGGGCGATTAAAAGCCTCGGGGGCCGGGCGGAACCGAGCCAACCCTGGATGAAGGCGACCGAAACTGAGAAGTCTGGAAGTCGTTACCAGGGGCCCCGAACCAAAACCATGAAAAAAGACAAAGGTTTTCATATGCAAAAACCAGGTTTTTTTGCTAGGGAAAACCAGGTGTTTGATGGTTTGTGGGCCCTGGTAGTGTAGAAGTCTTGATTCACAACCCCGCCAGAGATGGATTGTAGAGCCTCCGAGCCTCTGAGCAAGAGGTATTAATCAAGATTCTACATGAAAATTGGGCGACCCCAAGATTTGACCCCTGAGTGGGGATCCTAGAAGCTTAGGCTGTCAAAAGTGCTATCGCATCGCCACCAAAGCGTTCTCACCACATCTTTCGCATCTTGTGGGATCTCGCCCACGCGAGGTACGTTGAAATTCATGAAGTATGATTTGCAGGAGTTTGCTGACACAAGGCCCGTTGACCATGGAACCCCCCAAACAAACTAGGGTATTCTTTTTTTCCGCAAAAACGTCTATGAAACACAGTCAAGTGGGTTCATGAATGGTCTAGTCTTCTTGTAGCGCCCAACTCTGTCGCACAAACCATCCACCTCCTCTTCCAACGCATATAGGTCCCACTTTAAAAGGGTTACTATATGAGGAAGTGGGGAGTGTCACCATTATTGACACAAATTGAGACAAAAAACAAGAGTGGGAAATGAATCATGCCTGAATGACCCATCTTCTATACTAAACATGTTCAACAATTGAGCGCTCCCTTCACCGATGCCATTGTTTCTAACCCGAAAGCGGCACAGCAAGAAGCAGCCCATTCCCGCCTGGCTGGCCAAATCCCATCACTGAACATAGCGCAAAGGTGCCTCCGGTGTCTTGACTTGGCGAAAGAATGCAAAAATCCGATTTGCTCTTAGCAGCAGTAGAAGCAGCAAGAAAAGTAGTAGCGGTGGCGGTGGCGGCGGCGGTGGTGGAACACGAGTATAGGACTAGGACTACTACTACTACTACTACTACTACTCCTACTCCTACTGCTACTGCTACTCCTACTCCTACTACTACTACTACTACTCCTACTCCTACTCCTACTCCTACTCCTACTCCTACTCCTACTCCTACTCCTACTCCTCCTCCTACTCCTCCTGCTGCTACTACTACTACTACTCCTACTCCTACCCCTACCCCTACCCCTACCCCTGCGGCGGCGGTCGCGACGACGAGTGCTCGTAGCCTAGTGACATATTAACAAGTAAAATACTTATATTATATATATAAATATATATAACTATATATATTTATGTATGAATATATGGTAATATGGTCTCTGTTGTGTAATATTACATATGAGAACAATGGGCGAAGAAATCATGCACCACCAAAATTCGGAACCCCACCAGTGTGCGGAATTCTTCCGGCTGGTGCTGCAATTCTGCCCACCGGTTTGTAGAATGGGTGCTCGAAGCTGGCACTTTGGAAACCACTGCTTTCAACATAGACTCGACATAGATATTCAAAATGGACCTTCTCAAGACCGTGTTGGTTCTCTTTCTTACCTTCTGGGGCCATAATAACAACTGGGACAAAGAAGTTTGGTCATCACAATTGACTGTTGAAAGCTCTGACCTGTGCCAGAAGCTGGCCATCTCAAACGGTAAGGGTCAGAGTAAACAACAAACGTTTATTCACCACGGGTGTCCGTCGCGTTCTTTGGAGAACCAGGGTTTTAGACCCCCCGAAATCCCCATTGAGACACGTTGCAGCGGAGTGTTGGAGTCCCTGTCTCGTGCGTTCACCTCAAAGGGCCACGATGTCCAAAGAAAACGGCGTTCGAGCGGTCGAGCACCGGACCTGAACGAGTCCCTCCTGAATCGAAGGTCAAAACACAGTACAGCACATATGGGTCGTGCAACCGCCGTGCGCCAGGTTCATCCGCCGTTCCGCCGCGAACGACCTACCAGGTAGGTCAACCGGTCGGTATCTCGGTGTTTGACCCACAGATATGTCACCAGCATCCCAACAAACATATTGCTCCACTGTACTCATTGCCCCCCCTTCTAAGAAAGTTTTGCCACATGCACTCCTGCCATGAGAAACGAATCTTTCAGAACAGCATCTACATCCACTTCCTCCACTTGATATTCCTCAGATTCTATGTTTAGAAATGGAAGCAAGATGATAGACTCCTCAGAGGAGCAGGTGCTAGCTTTGAGATGCAATTGGGGTGCCTCTATTGCAGCTCATTCTGGGTTCTTTCTGGATGGTAACAACCA